ATTCTGGGAGATGAAGTTCCTCGGCCCTTAAAGGGGAAAGGTTGCCTAAAACCTCTGCAGAAATAATCCAGTTTGAGACTGCTTTAAATTGCACCAGCTAAGTGCTAGGGAATCCTGGGAATTGTAGTTTATTGTGGCACCAGAGCTCTCTGACAGAGAATACATTAAATTAAATTAAAGTGGTCTCAAACTGGATTATTTCTGCAGTGTGTTTTGGATCTTTGCAGTTGCTTTTCCTTTGTTATTTACTAGAGACAATTGCCGAAGCCAAAAAGGCAGGAAACTTTGGGTAAGTTTGGGTAAAAAGGAGGACCTTTGGTCATGATGTACAGTGCATGATTTTTGTCCAAAACACACTGCAGAAATAATCCAGTTTGTAACCATTTTAATTCCCCTGGCTCAATACTAGGGAAATCCTGGGAACTGTAGTTTTGTGAGATATTTAGCCTTCTCTGTCAGAGAGAGCTCTGGTGTCACAATAAACTACATATCCCAGGATTCCCTAGTACTGAGCCAGGGCAGTTAAAGTGGTCTCAAACTGGATTATTTCTGCAGTGTGTTTTGGACCAAAATCTCCAACCTACCCCGTCAGTAAAGTTAGTGAAATGTAGGCCCAAAACACACTGCAAAAATAATCCAGTTTGAAACTGCTTGAATTATCCTGGCTCAGTGCAAGGGAGTCTTGGGAGTTGTAGTAGTATTGTGAAAGAGAAGGCTGTCTCACAAAAACTACGGTTTCCAGAAATTCCCTAGCATTGAGCCAAGACAGTTATTTCTGCAGTGTGTTTTGGACCTACCCAGGGGCACTGTACATGATGACCAGAGGTCCTCCTTTTCCAGGACATGTCCTACATTTCTACTTTCAGACCAGGATTGTTTTACATCCACTCAAAAGGATAAAAGAAGCAACTGTTCAAAAATAATGGGCCTGTAAGCCCTTCTCACTTTTCATATTAAATGATGTTAATATTAAATAAAAGCAATAATTACTAATAATTAGAAGTTAAATTAAGATAAAAATGTATTTGGGGAAAAGGATATTGTCCTTTGGGATGGTGCAAATCTAGCAAGAAGAGGCAAATAAATAATGTTTCTCTTTTTATAGGTTTGAGTTTGGAAAAGCAGGTTTTAAGTGTTTCAGGCAGATAAGCAGGAACAAGAAACAAAATGTGAAAGGGGTTTTATATATAGGTTTTATGTTAATAAACTGAGCAAGGAGTCAAGTAACACAAGCCAAAATGGCTGGTGCAACAATGTTGTAATCCAGGAACTCCAGAAAGGTGTCACCCAATACACCATTGCATCTTTGTTGTTGTTGCTGTTATTGTGTGCCTTTAAGTCATTTTTGACTTATGGCAACCCTAAGGCAAACCTATCATGGGGTTTTGTTGGCAAGATTTGTTCAGAGGTGGTTTGCTATTGCCATCCTCTGAGGCTGAGAGAGTGTGACTTGGCCAAGATAACTCTGCAGGTTTCCATAACTGAGCCAGGATTCAAGTCCTAGTCCAATGGTCAAACATTATACCATGCTGGCATCTGCACAGTAGTTACAAAGGCAGCGGTCCCTCCACATTCACTGGGGTTAAGGCTGAAGGACACACACACACACACACCCCGTGAATGTAGAAAACCCACAAATAAAACAACATTATCCTTTTTATCTGAGGGAATACCTCTCTAAGCATCTCCAGGTCCTCCAGTGCAACTCTATGGTCAACATCTGCCAGATGTTGATTGTAGAATCATGCTGGAGGACCTACAAATGCCTAGAGAAGTGTTTTCTCTAGGAATTTCTAAGGGCCTGTACAGACTGCAAGAAATAATCCATCTTGGGACCACTTTAACAGTCCTGGCTCAATGCTACGGAATCATGGGACTTGTAGTTTTTTCTGAGACACTGAGTCAGAGAGCTCTGGTGCCACAATAAACTATAAACTGCACTGAGCCAGGGCAGTTAAAGTGGACTTAGGGGGGTTGCAGACTGCCAGAAATAGTGCAAATTGAGTCCACTTTTAGGGATAGGGTTAGTGCTAGGGAATCATGGGAATTTTTTTTTCTGAGACATTGAGCCTTCTCTGTCAGAGAGCTCTGGTGTCACAATAAAATACAGTTCCCATGATTCCTTAACCCTAACCCTAAAAGTGGACTCAATTTGCACTATTTCTGGCAGTCTGTACAGGCCCTAAATTCTCCAGCACAACTCTATGCTCAATTTCTAAGAGTTGCCCTGGAAGATTCAGGTGATTATCACATTGAAGCTAAAGTGTCTTTAAAGTTCCTTTAAAATTGTCAATAACGCGCAATCAGGGTTCACAGACTCATGCGTTTGTCGTGTCTGTAAAGTGTCATGGATGCCTCCCCAACTCCCCGCTCCCCTGATAGCTGTGTTTAAATATTTGAAGGGATGTCATATCGAGGAGGGAACAAGCTTGTTTTCTGCTGCTCCAGAGAATAGGACCAGAAACAACGGATGCAAGCTCCAGGAAAAGAGATTCCACCTCAACATTAGGAGGAGCTTCCTGACAGTGAGAGCGGTTCAACAGTGGAACTCACTCCCTCGGAGAGTGGCGGAGTCTCCTTCTTTGGAGTATTTAAACAGAGGCTGGATGGCCATCTGTTGGGGATGCATTGATTGGGAGTTCCTGCATGGCATGGGGTTGGACTGGTTGGCCCTTGTGGCCTCTTCCAACTTCCACCATCAGCCCTGGTGGCACAGTGGTTAAATGCCTGTACTGCAGCCACTCACTCATAAACCACAAGGTTGCGAGTTCAATACTAGTCAGGGCACAGGCTAGACTCAGTCCTGCATCCTTCCGAGGTCGCTAAAATGAGTACCCAGATTGTTGGGGGGCAATCAGCTCACAGTTGTAAACCGCTTAGACATCCCATAGCGTGATATGAAGCGGTATATAAATGAAGCTGCTTTTGCTTTTTATGATTCTATGATTCTATCCCGTCAGTAATGCATTACACAGAGGGAGGGAATAAAAATAAATTATTATTGTTGCTATTATTATTATTATTCTCTGTCAGAGAGCTCTGGTGCCACAATAAATTACAGTTCCCATGATTCCCTAGCACTGAGCCAGGGCAGTTAAAGTCAGTAATGCGTCCTTGGAGCT